TAAATAGCTAAGGTGGGTTGGGTTGTGCCCATCCTATGTAATTGGGCGAGGTTTGGCCCAACCCATGTAATTGGGCTTGATCTAGCCCATTTCAAGAGAAAAAAATTAAAAATATTTGTTTTAGAATTTTTATAATTTTTTCACGTATTTTTTATATCATTTTGATTAATATCAAGCAATATTTTTATGTCATAAAAATATAAATCCGGTATTAAAATACCTGGTTTTCGTCAAAACTTCCAAAAATACAAAAAATTTTGAAAAAAAGAGAAAAATATTTTTGTGCATATGGCTAAGTGTCTCCAAGCTAAAAAATCATATTGTGTTTTTTCTATACACCAAAAATAATATTTTGGCTTTAATAATGAGTTTATTAAAGTCAAGAAAACATTGGCCAAAATTTCAAAAGCAACAAAAAATTTATTTTATTTGTCTTTTAGTATCCAAGGTACGACATTACATGTAATGCGTATTTTGAATATTTAATTTTTTTTTTAACAATAGAACAGTTAGGTTTTACTGCATTAAGATAAGAATCTCCTTATTATGGAGGGTTTGTCTTGAACCTTAGACAATCCAACAATTAGAAACCACAACATGACTTTAGATTTTAATAAACAAAATAATGTAGCATACTTAGGTAGGGCATATTTGGGGTGTTAATACCTTCTTTTTATGCAACCAGTTTTCGTGCTTGATCTTTGAGGTTAGTTAGGGTTCCTAGTAACCAGAATACTTTTCCGTGCTTGATCTTTGAGGCTAGTTAGGGTTCCTAGTAACCAGAATACTATGTGGCAACTCTCATTCCAATTTTTCACTGATAAGAGACAAGAATTCCTTATCTCTCCATATTTTGCTAGAAATATAGCATTCCATTTTTCCTAGAGAGTGGATGATCATATCGACGCCGTACACGTGCGATATATATTATAAACTCTTTTTATTACTCAACTCAAAACCACACATGAAGAAAATTCCAATCGGATTATAAATTATTAACATGATTACATTGGTTATCTCATTTGAATAATGCTAATACTTGTAAATATGGTCATGTATTCATGATTATAACTTATATTAACAACAAATTAAATTCCTTTCATAGTACAAATGTAGGTACGGTTGGGCTATGAAATAGCCAAGTATTTGTTTTACCAAGTATTATACAACATAAATCTAAATTAACAATTTAACAAGCAAAGTATTAAAAGTAAACAAGATAACAAATACAAAATATGTTAATATTAAACATTAAAGTTCATGTTGAGTTTATACTGTACTTATTCTTAAACCATTAGTGTAACCTGTACACATTGACATAATAAACTTTAACTAAAATAGTGAAAGAGAGAAACATAAATTAACAAGATAATAACATAAATAAGATATAAGTTAACTAAGTAAAGGATAGGAAATGAAAAGTATAAACAAGATATTAATGAAAGCAAAACTTAAGCATTACAAAAAAAATATTTAAAGAAAGAGAGCAGGATTATGATCTTGATCTGAAAATCAAGATGCTTAAATGCATGGCAAATGCCTTCTTTTATGTGCTAAAATTGAAAACTATTGATTTATTAACTAATTGTTGAGTGGATGACCACATCTTAACTTAGTGACAATTTTTATCTTCTTGTCTAAACAAAACATTATTGCTAACATCAGAATTTGAACACATTTATAAAAGTTCTAGAAAATTATCTCAGCTTTCCAACAAAAAAAAAATTGAGGTCATTTGAGTTTCTAAAACTCAAGATATGGGTTCAATATTGAATAGTGTCTGGGTTATAGGACAGATTCAGACTTCTCTATTGTTGCTAAAATTTGGACTTCCAAACAGCATAATTGAGTATACATTTCCATGAATATGTTAGGCCTATGTCTTAGATTTCTATCTATATAAACCAAATTGAAATCCAAGATCTACAACTTCATATATGATCCAATGACTGAATAGTGTTCCAGTTTGGACTGAACCAGCATTTCTTTTCTAAGCTTCACTCTTTCTTTGTTTTCTTAATTTTTATAGTTTAACTCATCAATCAATCCTTTGATTTATATGATAGGGCTGCATTTAAGATAAACATTTACCATTAATTAAAGTTATCTTATAGTATCAAAGTTATTATTATAAAATATGTTTTAGTTAAAGAGTTATTAATACTTCAAGTGCAAAATGTTGATATAATACCTTAATAAAAATACACTTTTAAGTACTAATCACATCCCTCAACCAACGTATTACTAGTCCCTAGTAATCAAAATGTTAAAATAAAAAAACAATTTACAAGTTCCACAAAGTAAGGCATTCATCGTTCAATTTCCATTAATCTATTCAAGTAAACAAACTCTTATTAAATTTATATATATCCTTTATACTTTTTTAACAATATATTAATAAACCATCCATTTCTACTCAATATATCAACACATAGTTATAGGGCTTTACTTGGACAAAAATAGAATTTTGTTCTGATGTTTAAGATTAACTTCCTTGGATTGGGATTATTATCTTTTTTTATAAATCTTTTTCTTTTTTTTTTCTTTTTTAATATATATATATATAGACACACATATATAACTTAAAACACAATGCATCTTTAACTTATGTAACGAGCTTTCGACTAATGACTTCCAAACCAGTTGGTCTAAGGGCATTAGGTGTTGAGACATCCCTACGAGCTTAGTAACTCTAGTTGCAGATATTGATATATAGATGGTGCAATGTTTGATTCCCTTAAGCTTTTATCCTTAACCCATGTAATAAACTTTGAACCAATAGTTCACAAGTCAACTGACTTTAGGGTATTAGGTGTTAAAACACCTCTTCGGGCTTAATTGCTTAGGTTGGGGAGGCTACGAAACTAAAATTATCTACGTTTTTATTATCATTACTATTATCAATTTGTTTTTGTTTTTGTTTTTGTTGTCTTTTTTTTATTTACAAATTATATACTATCCCTTTTCCTTAGTTTTTACCTTTAACAAAAGAACATAATTAATGTAATAATCAAATGTGCAACCCACAATCATATGTTAAAGTGTGTGTTTGAAAATAAAGGTTTAAGAATACTTGTTAAATAAGTGTATTAGCAGAACTAAGTGATAATAATGCTAAAGTTTATAAATCTAAATATTTTATGAGAAGTGTGTGATAGACTTTGTTATAAATATTGCTGTCTTTTTTTTATTTACAAATTATATACTATCCCTTTTCCTTAGTTTTTACCTTTAACAAAAGAACATAATTAATGTAATAATCAAATATGCAACCCACAATCATATGTTAAAGTGTGTGTTTGAAAATAAAGGTTTAAGAATACTTGTTAAATAAGTGTATTAGCAGAACTAAGTGATAATAATGCTAAAGTTTATAAATCTAAATATTTTATGAGAAGTGTGTGATAGACTTTGTTATAAATATTGCAAATACCATTGAAAAATATTTACCAAGATGCGTCTCAAGAGTCAATAAAATTTTGTCATCCTAATAACAATTTTGTTAAATGGTTTTAATAATAGCAAAAATAGAGTTTTTTTTTTATATCAACTACTACCCTTCCCCCTAACCAAAGCAAAACATTATCTTCAATGTCCTAAGGTAGAAAGATAGAGTCTAGAAGACATCACCTGAAACAGCAAACACTAACAAATCTAAAATACACTTAAACAAATATAAGAGATAACAAAACATAAAAATATTATGCTATAATAAAACCAAAAGAAACAAATTTTTACAAACCAAAACTCAAATCATGGTTGTGACTGTGGCTCACATCTTCCCTTGGTTTTATGTCCAAGAATGACTTAAATGCCCTCTATGGGTCGAGGATATCCAGTTTTTTTTTAAAACTAGCAAACAGAATCTTTTATAATTAGATTTCCAAGACTAAATCAATTATGTTCTTTATGAAAATAAGGTCACAATTCATGAATTGCATGATGCACATCTCCACTAGGATGCGTCTTAAGAGTTAATAGAAGATTATCTAAAGACTCTTTACTTAGACCATCCTTAATGAATTATATTTTATCTTCACAGTTTATAGATACAATTCTTAAAGAACAACATTATGTATTACAAGTCCAGCTGGCATATTGATGATAGACTTGCATTATTTTTGCATGATGTTTCTTTACAAAAGTGCTCTTACCTGTCTTAGACAAGTATTAAATAAAACAATTAGAAGACTCACTTGATAATCAGACCTTTGCTTCAATCACCTAACAAATATTTTCAGGAATTCTATGATTCATTAACAACCTTAGTCTTGCATACCCAGCTCGGTAAATTTTTATAATCGTATTTTGAGTCAAAATAGGAAAATACTTTTTTTAATTTTCAAGAGTTGTGTCTATTTTTTAGATGAGAAGTGGAAAAGGGATCCAAAGAGAAGGAACAAGAAATTGAACAAATATATACACAGATATCAGTTTTCATGGGAAATTGAAAGAATAGACTTAAGAGTCATAGAGTACCGTTATCCACCATTTGAACGAGGTGAGAGAGACTAGCAAAACAAGAGTCACACAAAAAAAAAACAAGAAAATAATGTGACAAAAAAAATAATCAACCTTTATCTATGTTGCTACCTAATTTTTAACCCATATTTTTGATAAATTCTCAGAAAAAATCAAAAACATTTTAATATATTTACATCATTTTTAGTATTTTCAACATCATCTCAGAAGAATTTAAATTTTCAAAAATATTTTAAATGCATTCAACTTTTAACGCATTAATTTTACAATCACTGATTTTTTTGTTGAGTCGACGTTGATATTGCTTGTTTTCAAAAAAATTCAAAAAAATCAAAATTAACAAAAAAAAGAAAAGAAAGGAAAAGTTCAAGGACTAGTTTGAAAACCTAGCAAATATTTAAATAGAAAATCAAAATTAACAAATAAAAGAAAAGAAAAGAAAGAAAAAGTTCAAGGACTAGTTTGAAAACCTAGCAAATATTTATACTATAAATATTGCTACAATAATATAGAAAATGGGGGGAGAAAAATATTGATGGACGGGAAAAAAAAATTGAGAGGCAGGGAGGTGGAGAAAAATGAACTGGTTGGAGATTACAAGGGGGAAGAAAACAAAAGAAAAAACCTAAGCTAAACCCTCTTATAAACAGCTGCGACCCTTGGCCTGAAAAAACGAGAGAGACATCCCTGTTTCCTCTCCTTCCCCCTTTGCCATTTCAGGATCTCCCCCCTAAACCAGTCGCCTCCAATTTCCTATTCTGGCCAAATCCACTCAGCTCACACACAGCTACCCCCCACTCTTTAAAAGAACAGAGCCCCTCCTTTTGCAACAAAACCAGAGTAGCCAGCTGCCCCTCTTGTTGGCAAAGTAGAGAACGGGAGAGCCTAGGGGCACCCCTGGAACCTTCCCCTTTCTCGGTCGTCCCTTTCCCTTTCATCAGATTTCCTTTCTTCCTGCCAGCCAAGAGTTGAGCTCCCTTAACCCAAACACAGCCGCCTCTTTTGACACCCATCGCCCCATCTCCTTCTTCACCTGAGAGCCCCTCTCTCTCAAGCTCTCTGATTTCCCTCTATCAAGCCACACAGCAACAGCAGGAGTCTCGTTCACAGCCTCCTCCCACCGAAGAACCCAGCGGTGGTCGAAAGCAGCGACACCCACACACATCGTCCCCTTCCTCATCCACCAACTCTCCTTTACACAGACCAGCCTCCAGCGCTCCTTTCATGGCCACCGCTAGATATACCAAGAGGAGCGAAAACCATCAACGTCTGGACCACAGCGGCGACACCTCCAACTCCGCTGCCACCTGAAACGGAGAAGAATGAGACAGTAAAGGAAAAGAACCGATCTATAGAGAGAAGCAAATCCAAAACGAAGAAGAAGAGAAAGAGGAGCAGATCTGTAAAGGAAAGAAAAATTAAAACCGACTACCATTTATGTGTTTTTTTTTGTTGTTGCAGGTGACGGAGACCCTCATCGCCGGCGTAGGAAGACAGAGGAGAAGAAGCCGATCTTTGACTACCTGGTTTCTCAATTGCTTTCGCGGCGGTGCGCGAATCCACGCGCTGCCAGTGGCGATGGCGTGTGGAGGAGACGCGCACCACTGTTCATGCTCACCAGAATGTTCCCCAACACTGTTAGGGATTTTTAGGGGTTGTTCTATAATTTTTAAATTGTTTAATATAATATTTGTTTAGTTTGAATTTTTGTTTGTATTTTGTAAATATGAAAAAAAAAGAAAAAGAAAAGAAAAATATAGTAATAGTGTATACGTGTATTTGTATTTGTTTTATTCTTTTTATTTATGATGAAATTGCAGAGAATAAAAAAGAATTTAATATTTTGATTTGCTTATGGTTAAGAATTATGAACTTACATGTAAGTTGTATTTTTAATATCCAATGAAAAGACAATTATTAAAACTTCTTTAACACATTAAAGTCACGAAGCAGCTTACCTTAGGTAGGATGTGTTAGGGGTGCTAATATTTTCTGTAATCACAATCAGTTCTTTAGCCGTGTATTTCTGGCAAGACCAGTATATCCAGATTTTCTAGTAGCCTTCAATAAATTACTAGGTGATGACTCCAACGAACCAATCAACTGCAATCAATCAATGCATAACGAATGAGAAATCTCCGAATTGTCGCGCGGGGGACGTGCGACAAAATGGCGACTCCACTAGGGAAAGGTATTGTTTTCTAATATTATTGGACTAAGCTTTGTGTTTTGATGTGTTCAAGTTTTTTTCGGGTTTTGTTTTATTTTATTTATGTTTTATTCATACATTGTATAGAATTCTCTCACGCATCACAAGCTTTGATTTTTTAAAACACACACAAGCTTTAGGTTAGGTGAGAGACTAACAGCTTGCCGTATGACTTAAGTCAAGGTTTAAGCTTGTTTAAACCCCAACTTTTTGTTGAGTGCCTAAACTGGTAATAATTGGTACACGTGCCAACCCATTATTTATTGGGCCCCTATATTGCCTTCAAGAGGGTGATCCTAGGACAACAAGAGACTCTTTTTAGAGATCAAGTACTAAACCTACCCTTGGTCTCACGTAAAAAGTTTAGAACCTGTCTTTAGAATGTATGCTCCGTACATATTTGTTTTGCATCTGAGCAAAACTTTCTTGAAGCAACTTGAATTCAGGACTTACAGGGGATATAATGGTCATCACTTAAGAAATTTTTATTTGTAGAGTTTAAGCAAGAATAAAAATTATTGTCTCATCATGCAAGAGTTATGACCATATGTCACCCCTCGAAGGGCAAGTTCATCATGTAGATTACATGTCATGCATGTATCATACATGCACCGAGATGAAAAATAGGTCCCCATCCGAGCTTTGCTACACCTGATTGAATAAAGATGATGGGAAATGAAGAAAAGGGTCAAAGAGAGGCTGATTGTTAAAAGGAAGTTGAGAGCATCAAAGATGGAGTAGCTAGACTCAGATCTGTCTAAATAAGTATAGAGTATCAAATGGAAAGGGAATGTCTGCACAGTTTTCTGTGGGAACACTATTTGTCCATGTCCATTTGAAGTTGCACCTCTTCTTTTTCAGTCATTAACAATAGCAGCAATGCCTTCAGTCATCAACTAATGACGACCTTTGTCCTTGTTCAACACTAGTAGTCATTCAAAACCTTCATATCTTTTAAGAGCACCCAATACCTGCTAGCGTTCTATGCTTAATATGTTGGCCTTTTTTCTAATTATCTCCATTGTGAACATCATTCCGATCCAGCAACATAAGATGTGGGTCTAAAAATAAATGATGATTTTACGTTGGACTTCAACATAGTAAAGCTCTCTCTATAGAGATCTGTTTTTGGCTCTGCAAGTGGAAAATACAAGAAAGGATGTAATAGTTTCAGAAGCTATGAAAATTTACACCACCAGTTTTAGCACTGAAACACGATAGTATGCAGAAGAGCCAGACCTAGTCTGAAAAATAGAGCAAGCATTGAATTTCAATATAGCAGAGCTCTCTTTATAAAGATTTGTTTGTGGATCTACAAGGGGAGAATCTAAGAAGGAATGTAGTCGTTTCAGGTCATCTATAATTTTCTCCAACTTGTGTCAGCAATAAAACACAAAAGTTGGGAGAAGAGACAGACCTGGGTTGAAAAACAAGAAGAAGACTGAAACTTCAATTGAGTAGAACTTCCTCTACATGTTTTTGTTTGTTGCACCGTCAGTGAGGAATCAAAGAGGAAATAGAGGAATTTCAGAATTAACAGGTTCTCCCCCAATAAAGACAGTGCGTGATTTCACACCTCAGTAGTGGCAGTGCTGCATGTTTCTATATGCTGCCAAGATTACCTAGTTGTTGGAAGGTTTCCAGCAATCCTCAAACAACCACAACAACATTGGAAGATTCAAATTATGTTGTGAAGATTGTTGAAAGAATTGGAAGAGTTATAGGAAAGATTGAAGGTTCTTTTAGGGATTCTAGAACTGTGAAGAGAGTTGAATTAGAAGATGACTCTTAATTGAGAAACCTCAGTTATTTTGCCTAGTCAGGTCTTATTATAACATCAACTGCTCAAATGTCTTTGCCAAGATTGACATTCCTCTACCACTTAAGTTTGCCTACCTACATTTGCCAAATTCCAAACTTGTTGCCCTAACTTTGACAAATTACATGCAACCACTATGGTATAATTCAGACGAGATGTGAATATCATGATGGGTTCCTGAACCATTTTAGTTGAATAGATGTAAGAGTTTTAAGAATCGAGCTGGGTTTGTGAAAGATGATGTCATCAATCAGTTTTTATTACCAAAACATCCTCAAAATGACAAATGATCGCAATTGTTTGGCAAAACACAGATATTGCTAAAGAAGTTGATCCAAGAAGGGTGTTGACCTGTCAAATCATTTTTGTTATAGATTTTGTCATTCTACATTTTGTTTTGAGATCACATCTCATCCTTCAACAAAACATATCTTTTCTTTGTCTCTTTGTTGTTATGAAATATGAGATGTTTCTTTCAAATGGTATTTTGACAAAATATTTTGATCAAACTCCAACTTGCAAAATTAAGATTAATCAATCCTGAAGATTAAAAGTATTTTGATTGCAGAAATGACTCAATGCTTGAAAATGACATAAGGTGACTAAACAATTTTGAACTCATACCTCCTGAAACTGAACCACCCACCATGTAGCTAAGTTTTAACAGTATGCATAATAACATGTAGTGGATTCAGTAGCTATGGACTCGTGAATCATTGACTCTTACAAGTCTTAATCATTACGCTGGACGAGGTCAAAATTTATCGGTTCTAACCGAACTTACTTGAAATGAGAAAAGGCCATTTTTGTTGTCCCTTCACTTTCTAAAGGTTGTATCCATTGTAGTCCCATTTTAAGCTAGACAGATTTCTTTTCAAAAAAAAACCTTGACTAGGATCACACCCCACACTACGGGCAATGAGAGATGTGTTATTGGGAAGAATGAAGACATTGATATAATTAATGGACAAAGGGGAAGGCTTAGAATAAAAGTCCAATTATTGAGAAAGGGCTAGAAAAGCCATAGAATGAGGGTCATCTAAGAGAACCTTGAAGAAGGCTATGAGAGAGCAAAAAAAAAAAAAAATGGAATGGAATGAGAATCCCTATCAATTCTAAGAAGGGCAAAAGAGGTTTGAATTGAAGAAAGAAACAACAAATGCTAAAAGTAAAAAAAAATCAAGCAGAATATAATGAGAATGTATATCAATTCTAAGAAGGGCAAAAGAAGTTTCAATTGAAGAAAGACACAGCAAATGCCAAAAAAATCGAGCTGCATATCTTTTACTGTATTTAGGATAAAGCCTTTCGTGTCTTTAAAAACATTAGATTGGTTATTCATTACAAAAAAAGTTGGATTTGCATTATAATCTATGTTAAGAGAATTCTGATATTCGAAAATAACAAGGTTATATGTCACTTTCTCTACTATGACAATAAGAGAAAGCGAGTTGATGAATAGTTGATGTTGATCCTAGGTCTTTGAAACCCTCAAAGATCTTTTGAGCCTGTGAATTTCCTTTTTTTCATAAGCCATGAACTATAGCCTACATTACATGCTTTTAAAAGCCCTTTTTGATCAAGTAAGCAATTTGAATCAATAAATGGCGCTTTCAAAACTTGAAGAGCTTTTCCATAAGGGTCGTGACTTCATGAATCAAGCTACTGATTATTATGCATGCTAGTAAAATTGGTGCTAAAAAAGGAAAAAAACTCCCTTGAGGAATCCTCAAGTTTTGACTTGAGCCTTTTGTTTCTTGAAATTCACAGAAGGTCACCTCATCGCAGACCATCAAAAAATATACCCAAGATCAAAGATTAAAACTGACATAAAGAACCATGAAAAAAGTCATTTTAATCTTACAATGGGTCAGTTCTATTTTTGAAATATAAGACAATCAAAGGACTATATTGAATAGCATGTGTTGGATCTTTAACCGAAGAAGCTTAATTTTCAAAAGATCTTTTCCAAAGTTAATATCTCTCAGATTTCATTTCAACAATTAGACTTGAATAGACATGATCTTTGAAAGATGAGATTTGATTCTAGAACAAGATTGTCAAACAAAGAAGAACGTTGTTTGAGTTTGTGAAATCCTTGACATAAAATGATATCAACTCTTCTTAACACTCCTTGAAAAGTTAAGACACCTTAGGGCAATACAGTGGACTCTGAGAAGAAAAACAAACAGTATTTAGCTCAGCTAGGGGGCAAAGCAAAATCAGATGATGAGTCGTCAAAGTCCATCAAAGTTATGTTTAGCATCTGACAATGACAAAGAAAAAACTTTTTGAGTATAGACAGATGAACGAGCATTCAAATCATCACTAGGGGCAATGTTCAAAAACAATCCCAGCAGTAATTGATGAGCAGCGTTACACTTAAAGGATATCTTTATATCTTCATCTTGGTTTACAATCTCTAATATGGCTATGATTTTTTAACAATGTTATCGCATAGTTACATTTGAATGAATGTTAGAAGGATGCACCCACCAAGACTGACTGTGGGACCATTTATTTTGAAGCAAAGACACACTTCATCGCATGAATATAGTTGATAACATGAACATCATTAATGATATCAATGTATTTCTCTTCATGATCTGATTGACAAGTTGAGAGGAATCCATGGAGAAGAATATTGAGCTTACAATGATGAGCTTTTTACTACAAAGTATGAGATGCATATCTGGATAACTTGGCAGTTCCATGAAGGCTGATGATAACATACTTGAAGAGTATTGTTTCAATTGGAGGCAAGTTCATGACTGATTAATAATCTTGATGGGCGTTGGCAAGAGGCCCACGGTTAATCAAAAGATAATTCTTAGAAGAATCCAGGAGAGAAAATCCTTCATAATGAATCAAGCAACACCACACTTGGGAGTAGAGTCAAGCTTGATGAACAACGAGAGTAGTAACCATCGAAGACAGCCTAAGATAGGCACTGCATTTACAGCTGAGTGATGGTTATCAGATGAATAAGCCAACGCATGGAAAGAACAAAGAAAGCTTTGGAAAGCAAACAAAGGCACCCTATGACGATGGATCATCAAAGAGGGGGGGACCTATATTTCTCAAGTACGTGTACATGCATATTGATCATAATGCATTGTTTTTAGCATTGTCATATCGGTGTTTCATCATCACTTTTTAAGTAGTGCATTTTTAACCCTACCTCATTTTGAGTGTGCCTTTGTGCCCTCACTTCTTTTCGAGTGCACCTTTGAGTCACCATTTTCTTGGGTTATGTGTTTTTAACCCTACCTCATTTTGAGTGTACCTTTGTGCCCTCACTTCTTTTTAAGTGCGCCTTTGAGCCACCATAATCTCAGGTAGTGCGTTCTCTAACCCTACCTCATTTTGAGTGCGCCTTTAAGCCCTCACTCTCAAGTAGTGTGTTTTTTAACCCTACCTCCTTTCAAGTGTGCCTTCGAGCCCTCATCTCCTTCCGAGTGTGCCTTTGAGCCACCACTTCTTAGGTAGTGTGTTTTCTAACCCTACCTCCTTCTGAGTGGCCTTTGAGCCACCATCTCTTGGGTAGTGCGTTTTCTAACCCTACCTCATTTCAAGTGAGCCTTTGAGCCATCATCATCTTGTTATGGGTAGGTCACCCATTATAATGAGACCGCTTTTCATTTTTTCTGGGTAGGTCACCCATTACAATGAGACCACTTCATATTTTTTCCATTTCCTATCTAAGTAGGTCACCCATAATAATGAGACCATTTTTTAAAAAAAATCTTTGCATTTTCCTAGGTAGGTCACCCATAACAATGAGACCACCCTTCATCTTCCATTTGGGTAAGTCGCCCATTGTAATGATACCACCTTTCATCTTCCATTTGAGTAGGTCACCCATCATAATGAGACCACCACCTTCATTTGGGTAGGTCACCCATCATAATGAGACCATTATCTTTCATTTAGGTAGGTCACCCATCACAATGAGACCATCATTTCATTTGGGTAGGTCACCCATCATAATGAGACCATCATCTTTTTTGGGTAGGTCACCCATCATAATGAGACCATCATCTTTTTTGGGTAGGTCACCCATCATAATGAGACCATTATTTTTTCCATCTAGGTAGGTCACCCGTCATAATGAGACCATCTTCCATTTAGGTAAATCACCCATTATAATGAGACCACCTTTTATTTATTTATTTTTGCAGGTCACCCATCATAATTAGACCATCATTTTTTCTACTTGGGTAGGTCACCCATCATAATGAGATCATCATCTTTTTTTGGGTAGGTCACCCATCAATGAGACCATCTTGCATTTAGGTAGGTCGACCATTATAATAAGATCACACACACATCTTTGTATAAGTTCTGGTTAAAAGAGATCGTCAGATGGGATCTCAGGTTAGCCCAACCACACACAAAGTTTTAGCTTTGGTTAAAGGGAATTGCCAGATGGGATTCTAGGTTAACCGAGCTACACGTCGATTTTGGTTCTAGTTAAAGGAGATCGTCAGATGAGATCTCAAGTTAACCCAATCAAAAGGGTCGGTTGCCCATAAAAATAGATATGAGGGCAAGTCACCCCTGAAAATAGATCAGCGTGAGTATGTGTGGGCCGGTCACCTCTGAAAATAGACCCGCATGAGTATGAGTATGTGTGGGTAAGTATTCCATGAAAATAGACTAGTGAGAATATATGTGGGCAGGTCGCCCGTGAAAATAGACCAATGTGAGTATGTGTTGGGGAGGTTGCCCTTGAAAATAGACCACAATGAGTACGTTTGGGCAGGTCGCCCGTGAAAATAGACTAGAGTGAGTATATGTAGGCCGGTCTCCCTTGAAAATAGATCCGTATGAGTATATGTGAGTAGGTCGCCCCTGAAAGTAAACTAGTGTGAGTGTGTGGGCAGGTCGCCCTTGCAAAGGGACCAATTTTTCCTCAAAATGGGTAGGTCACCCAAGATAGTGAGACCATTTTCTTTTAAAAAGTGAAGTCCTGTGCTAAGTGGATCACTTAATAAGCTAGGAAGACCTTTTGTTTTCTTTACAAGCTTCTTATGCAAAACATTGAGGAATTTTTGCTTCATAAGTATTGTAAAGAGGGGGCATCTGTTGCTACCCAATTTTTTACCCACATTTTTGATAAATTCTCAGAAAAAATCAAAAATAGTAAAAAATAATGAAAAACCCCAAAAAATATATTTTGATACATTTGTATCATTTTTAGCATTTTCAACATCATCTTTGAAAAATTTAAATTTTCAAAGGTATTTCAAACGCATTCAACTTTTAACATGTAAATTTTATAATTACTGATTTTTCTTGTTGAGTCGACGTTGATATTACTCGCTTTAAAAATATATATAAAAAAAGAGAAAATCAAAATTAACAAAATTATATAAAAAAAAGAGAAAATCAAAATTAACAAAAAAAAAAAGAACGAAAAAGTTGAGGGACTAGTTTGAAAACCTAGCAAATATTTATACTATAAATATTGCTACAATAATATAGAAAAGGGGGGGAGAAAAATATTGACGGACGGGAAAAAAAAATTAAGAGGCAGGGAGGCGAAGAAAAATGAACTAGCTGAGGATTACAAGGGGGAAGAAAACAACAGAAAAAATCTAAGCTAAACCCTCTCATAAACAACCGCGACCCCTGGCCTGAAAAAACAAGAGAGACGTCCCCGTTTCCTCTCCTTTCCCTTTTGCCATTTCAGGATCTCCCTCCTAAACCAACCGCCTCCAATTTCCTGTTCTGGCCAAATCCACTCAGCTCACACACAGCTGCCATCATCTCACACACAACTGCCCCCCTCTCTTTGAAAGAATAGAGCCCCTCCTTTTGCAACAAAACCAGAGCAGCTAGCTGCCCCTCTTGTTGGCAAAGAAGAGAACGGGAGAGCCATGGGGCGCCGTTGGAACCTTCCCCTCTCTCAGCCGTCCCTTTCCCCTTCATCAGATTTCCTTTCTTCCTACCAGCCAAGAGTTGAGCTCCCTCAGCCCAAACACAGCCGCCTCTCCTGACACCCATCTCCTTCTTCACCCCGAGAGCCCCTCTCTTTGAAGCTCTCTGATTTCCCTCCATCAAGCCACACAGCAGCAGCAGGAGTCCCGTTCACAGCCTCCTCCCACCAAAGAACCCAGCAGCGGCCGACAACAGCGGCACCCACAGACATCGTCCCCTTCCTCATCCACCAACTCTCCTTTACACAGACCGGCACCCGGTGCTTCTTCCATGGCCGCCGCCAGATATACCAAGAGGAGAGAAAACCATCAACGTCTGGGCCACAACGACAACGCCTCCAACTCCGCTGCCACCTGAAACAGAGAAGAATGAGACAGCAAAGGAAAATAACTGATCTGTAGAGAGAAGCAGATCCGAAACGAAAAAGAAGAGAAAGAGGAGCAGATCTGTAAAGGAAAGAAAAATTAAAACCGACTGCCATTTCTGTGTTTTTTTTGGTTGTTGCAGGTGACAGTGACCCTCACCGCCGGCGTAGGAAGATAGAGGAGAAGAAGCCGACCTTTGACTGCTTGTTTCCCGGTTGCTTTCGCGGCGGCGCGCGAATCCACGCGCTGCCAGTGGCGATGGCACATGGAGGAGACACACACCACTGTTCATGCTCACCAGAATGTTCCCCAACACTGTTAGGGATTTTTAGGGGCTGTTCTGTAATTTTTAAATTGTTTAATGTAATATTTGTTTAGTTTGAATTTTTGTTTGTATTTTGTAAATATAAAAAAAAAGGAAAAATAAAAGAAAAGAAACAAAAATATAGTAATAGTGTATATGTGTATTTGTATTTGATTTATTCTTTTTATTTATGATAAAATTGAAGAGAATAAAGAAGAATTTAATATTTTAATTTGCTCATGGTTAAGAATAATAAATTTACACGTAAGTCGTATTTTTTATATCTGATGAAAAGATAATTATTAAAATTTCTTTAACACATCAAAGTCACAAAGCAGCTTATTTTGGATGGGGTGTGTTAGGGGTGCTAATACCTTTTCTAATCATAATCAGTTCCTTACCTGTGTATTTCTGACAATACTAGTACACCTGGGTTTCCTAGTAGCCTTCAATAAATTACTAGGTGACGATTCCAATGAACCAATTAACAGCAATCAATTAACGCATAATGAATGAGAAATCATCGAATTGCTGCACGAGGGATGTGCGACAATCTATAAGATCATTTCAAATCAATAGATTAATTTTCACTAGAAAAATTGTTAAAGTAAGCTTCTAATCGATGTCCATTTACCTTAAAAACATTATCATTCTTAGGATTTTTAATATCAAAGGCCCTATAAGGATACACATGTTTGACAATAAATGGATCGCTCTATCTTTATCTTAGCTTTCTAGAAAATAAATGGAGTCGAGAATTATAAAGCAAAACTTTTTAACCAGTATCAACTTTTTGACAATTTTCATAAGTTTTGTAGAATACATGTTGTTCTTGAACATGGTGAGTCAATAAAATTCATTTTGTAAGATTTTTGCTATCATTTTTTTTATGAGAAATGATTCTCATATGCCTTAAAATGACAAAGTTTGATAACACTACTTTCCTCAGTATCCGCAATACATTTTTGAAATATTTGATTAGAACCATATTTGAATAAATAGGGGTCATCCCAATAAAAGTTCTTCATTTCGTTCAAAAACTTTCTTTTATCTTAGGTATTCCAAAGAGCTAGCAAATCTTCTGAAGCATGAAAATTGATATTTTTAACAAACCAAGGCATTGAACTAAGAGAAAGTAAGGATTCGTCAGGAAAGTAATCATCGATTAGTGTGATGCCATTTATCGAATCTATTGTCAATCTTGACAAATAATTTGTATCAACATTTTTGGTGTCTTTCTTGTCCTTGATTTCTTCCTGAGAACAAATCTTTTGCAATTCTTCAGATTCATCAAACTTAGTTTTACTCAAGGTAGATTCAACTTGATCATAAACTAATTCTTCAATAAAATCTACTTCTTATAAATCATTATCATCTCTAGGTTGGTTGCACATGTTGAAAATATTTATCTTTAATGTCATGTTTTTAAATGATAGCTTTATCAGTCCATTCCTACAATTAATTAATACATTAGAAGTTGCAAGAAATAGACGTCCTAAAATAACAATAAATGAATTATATGCTTCAACAGGTTGTGTGTTCAAGATAATAAAATTCATAGGATAAATGAATTTATCGACTTGTACTAACATATCTTCAACTATTCCTCTAAACACTTTTACAGATTTATCAGCAAGTAAACAAAAGTTGGTTTTAACTCGCCTAGATTGAGACTTTGAAAAATTGAATATGAAAGTAAATTCACATTAGCTCCAAGATCAAGTAAAGCTTTTTTAATTTTATGTTCTCTAATAAAGCAAGAAATGTAGGACAACCAAGATCTTTATATTTCAAAGCATTATTTTTCTAAAGAATGGCACTTGTTCGGCTAAAAAGGTTTTTTTTTTTTTTACATTCAGTTTTCTCTTCACAATGCACAAATCTTTCAAAAATTTAGTATAGGAAGGTACCTGTTTAATAGCATCCAGTAAAGGTATATTGATCCTTACTTATTTGAAAATTTTAAAGATTTTAGTGTAGTGATTGACTTTTCTTTGTTTTCCATGTTGCTTGCACATGTTGAAAATATTTATCTTTAATGTCATGTTTTTAAATGATAGCTTTATCAGTCCATTCCTACAATTAATTAATACATTAGAAGTTGCAAGAAATAGACATTCTAATATAAAAAAATTTGAATTATATGTTTCAACAAGTTGTGTATCCAAGACAACAAAACCTATAGAGTAAATGAATTTATCGACTTGTACTAACACATTTTTAATTATTTCTCTAGGCACTTTTACAGATCTATCGACAAGTAAAA